ATGTGCCCTCAGTGTGTTTGTCTGTTAGGAGATGAAATTATTTATTCTGTTTTTGACTTGCTCACTTGTCAGCTTGTCATTAGATTTAGAATTCAAGAGATCAGTAAAAAAATAAAAATAAAAAAACGGTACTTAAATCTTGAATAAACTGCAAAGCTGTGGCAAAAGCACTCATTATTTCTTCACTTGTGTCAGTTTCTGAGATACAACGGAAAAGCTGAAGTGAGTTTGTCCTCTCTTTGAAATATAAATTCTTACAATTAAAATATTTTTCCCTCTCAGATTCTTTCGCTCAAGGTTTTTTCTGCCACTTCTAAAATGTTAAGGCGAACTCATGATATCTGACTGGAAAATAAGGCAGATAAGGAATCAGTACAAGTAGAAACTTTATTTTCAAATATTAGTTTTTACTAAAATGCATTTTGTGATCATGGAAAAAATAATTAAATCTAATACTGTTGGAAAGCTTGTTGATTTCCCTTTTAAATGATGCCACTTTTGTAAGGAACATGTGTTTGATTAGAAGTAGAGCTGAGCATCTGGGTAAAATTTAAATCTTTTATATTGACACTTGTTTTGAGCTTATGGTACTGCAGGTGCTGCCAATTGTAAGATTTAATACCAAGAAGCTTTGATCAACAAAGAAAAAATCTACAAAACACAGATCTCCTTGTATTTTGTGCTAAATATATTTCATGCATCTATTAGGAAGAATGTCAAAGAGTATTTCTCAGTGTTTTCTGCAGATTTAAACTTTAAACTGCACTTCTCGACTCCCATATTCATCTTGTGTTCCTTTTCAAAGTTTGCAGTCATTTCAATTGTGTCATCCCCACCACCCTTCTTTGTTAGACATGGTGATGACAAGTATGTTAAATGCCTCAAAGTGCTTGTGTGATCTTGATGGAATTCTCTGGTTTTGCTGTTCACACACAGAAAGACACTTTGCACTTCCTGACTTTGAAAGTTGTCAGCAGAGCAGCAGCAGCAGGCGGTTTCAGAACCTCGGACAGCTCCTCTGCAGGGAGAGAACTGGGTGTGGGGGTCCAGCTGAGGACTCTCACCTGCCTTCCTGTTAGTCTCACTGGGAACACCAAGAACAGAGTCCAGAACTGAGATTTGCCACCTCCAACACCACCAGATGTGTGTGTGTGTGTGTGTGTGTGCGTGCGTGCGTGCGTGCGTGCGTGCGTGCGCCCACATGAGCCCTTCCCCCACATTTGTCGCATATCATCCACCCAGAGCCATTTCTATCTGTATGGAAATTTGGGCTCCACAGCTGGAATCCCACAAAGAACTGTCATCCACTAATAGTTATTATCGCTTTGGCCTGCTCCCGCACAAAAAAAAAAAAAAAGAAGAAACCTTGCAATACAAGCACATCGCATCTTTATGGTAATGCCCTACAATATAGCCCCGGGCTATGGTGCATAGACCTTTGTTATCATTACGATAATTCCCGTTCTCACTTGACTCCTCATTACACTTTTGAAAACTGCTCGGGGTTGGATCAAGACAAATTCCTGCATCTTCTTTTATTGCGCTGCCACATACACAAAACCTAAAGTGCACCAATATAAAAGCAGTCAGTATGATTAAAAAAATTACGCTTAAGAGCTGTTGTTATAAATTAATATTAGAGAGGCCCTCGTGCTGCACTATTAGCAATCATAATGCTTGTTCTTCTGTGTAATAGTTTCCTGGCTATAGTTTGTCATATTTAGGCTGAGCTGTGTTCTAATTTATAATTTGAATAAAAGAACAAAAAAACTACATAAGGCAATAAGAAAGTCTTTTTTTAAAGACATCACTTTTTTGATTTTTGAGGGGTTGAAGTAATAAATGATGACATTTATTGCATTTCAAACTGTGAAGCCTGATGATTTAAACTAAATTCTGTTGATTTCATTCTTGTTTTTGTGACATAAAAACTGTGAACAATTTCTTCAAACTTATTTAAGCCCTCAATTTTAGTAATATAACACATATTTTAATTATGCTTCGTAATATAACAATAAATGTGATTTAAATAGGTTTTTTAGAAGCAGCATGAAGAGTTTCAGATCTTGTCTTCCAAGGAAACCTCAGAGAAACTTGTCAGAGTTTGTTGGTGTACCTTTGTGAATGTCCACACAATT